TTGACACGGTCCTGGAGTTTGCATGCAATTTAACAAGTTCTTTAAATTTGCATCTTGGCATAGGCTACATCTTCTTTTTGAGCCCTTAAAGATGTTTACTTTGCCATTATTTTGTTATTTCAAAGTAGATGATCAGTGGAGAATGGAAGAGGTAAATAAATGAATTAATCTGACTAGTGAACTAAGTCAGGGCCACTGCAGTCAAAAAAAAACCTGAGGAATAAGTTAGCTTCATGGGGGCCGGGACACCTGAGACTGAGGGAGACGAATTAGGGAGGAATGGAGAAGTTGTGGAGGTGGAGGGAGGATGGAATTTGGCTCTGGAGGAGCTGTTTGATGGCGATGGTCTCAGAGAGCTGGCTACTTTTAAACCATTAACTTCATGTTGCTGTCATCGAGCTCAGTGCAGACGATCCTCTCACACATTTGGACTGGTCTGGGAGCAGGTACAGGAGTGCAGATGTCTGTGTGTGTGTGTGTGTGTGTGTGTGTGTGTGTGTGTGTGTGTGTGTGTGTGTGTGTGTGTGTGTGTGTGTGTGTGTGTGTGTATACTGTACATGTTTACAGTGCTGCATTTTCCACCAGTGCACAGCATCAAAGGGGGTTAAAAAAGGACGTGTGGGGAGGTAATGACGTCTCTATGTGGGTCCAGTTTGACCGGTTCTTACCAGAGCAGAGCAGAAGTTGTGAGACCTCTGAGTTTAAAAGTAAACAATGTGAAACTTCTGCGTAGTCGCTGCCCTAAAGGAACAGAGGTGTGGTGGCAGATGCCAGGATGTGACACGGCTAATTTACAACAGGTGATCGGCAGTGTGGGAAAAGTATTGTGCAATAACTTCTCGTATTTACATTTACTGACCTCACAGATCCCAGTTCTCAGGGTTTCATCTTTATCTGTTGCTGTATTTAGGAGTCTATTCCTCCCCCTTTTCCATGTCTTTTGTATATTTGGATTGTTTATAATTGACGGACATATGTAACAGAGTTTGTGCTTTTAGTTTTGTTGCTTTGTCCATTCTTACATCTGTACCAGATTAACTGTTCTGCTTGAATTCCCTCGGGGTTCAGTGAAATATTTCTGATTCTGATTCTGAGCTCAAAACCAGAAACAAAGCTAAAGGGGAGGGGTGTTTCTGTCCAGCTGCTGAAGTTCAACAAATCAACAAACTTTCTCCAGGAGTGCATACTCCAGTGCAAATGAGACCCGTTGAATTTCTTCAAACGTTCCTACACAGGCCGCATTATGCATCAAAAATACTTAACAAAGAGGGAAAGACAACACATTTTAAAACCTCTCATCATCGGCAAACAACTTAACGTTTAAATCTAGGTTAAAGTTTAGGCTTTGTGTGTTTAGATGAATGTGAGGCTTTAGAGTAAACAGCATTTCTCAGCTTCTTTTTTTGATAGTTGCTGCACATTAAGAGCTCTCTGTGTGTCAGACTATAACTTAGATTTCTATTTTCAGATCGTGCACGAAGATTGTTTCTTGTTTCAGCTGCAGCCTGAAGATTTTTCTGCAGTTGTTTCCTCTGATTTGATTTATTTTTAACAGAAAAGATGGAATTAATAACGCACAAAGGGTTTAGAAACTTCAAGACTATAAAGATTTTAAAACTCTCCTGGATACTGTGTTCCACTTTATTCTGAAGGAAGACTTTATTTTAACAATTAAAGGCATCCTCAATGCTTTGAGATATAAACCTTTGCTGAGTTCAAAAAGTTTAAAGACATTGTAAATTCATTTTTTTTTTCTTCTTGGTGCTTATACATTTGAGTACTTATTATTTATGCTAACAAAGCCCTCCCGTTCTGTTCGCTGACGGGCTAATAAGAAGAGTTAATTAGGAAAAACCTTCAGGCTGTATTTCATGACGAGGATTATGTCAGCGCACACACTTCCCGCACACACATTCATTTATAGCATGGTGAGGTCGACCGGCTGGGTCAGGTCCTTTGTATGAGACTAATTGTGTCAGCTTGAGACGATCGTTGAGACAGAGAAAATCAGGAGCTGCCAAAGCAGAGCTGTAAGCACAGTCCACCCCTTCTGTTTTTTTAATTTGCATATTAATCATATAAGACTGCTTGAAGGATCTTTGATAGTTTTGTGGTGGTCATAAAAAGTACAAAAGATGGATTGAAGGTAGAGCTTCGTTACACCGTGCCCATCAATTAGTGGTGATTCATTTTCACAGGATACCCCTCAGATGTCTGCACAGTTGACTCAAAGGCCGCTTATCAGGAGGCGACTATAATGAGAGATAATGAGCACGGGGAGGAGTGAGTCAGAGTGACTCACACGCCGTAAGGCTCACATTATGGTTATCTGTTGGCTCACCTCAGTGCATCACAGCAGGTGACCTGACGAGGACGGTGAGAGACCGCTCACATTTCAGGACCATGCATGTGTGTGTCTGTGTCACTGTTTGCCTTCATACACTCTGTATATATGATGATAATTATAAAGGCAGTGTATATGTAGTATGCACACAATCATTCATCATTTTTAAAGCTGTAAGTCTCTAAACTCTGAAATAGAGTTGTCATGATACCAGATTTTCAAACTTCGATATGATACTAGTAAAGATCCAACAATATCGATGCCTGCTTTGATACCACAGCAAGAAAAATAGAAGAGCACCAATTTCCTCTTTCCAATTCTCTAAAACTGCTGGCAAACTCCTTCACACTGCATGAAAACATGGGCCTATATTTCTGTTCTGTACATGTGGTGGAATTTCTGTAGTTATTTAGATTATAATGTACAGACGTCATTAGGTTTATTCACTGTTCTCTAATGACAGTCAGACCTGACAGAGTTCAGCTGTTATTAGAACACCAAGGACAGCTTAGAGAGTGTCAGCTGTTCTTCCTGATATCTGCAAGGATGTTTGGTAGACTTATTGTCTGCTCCAGTGTTATAGACGTCACAGTTTAGTCTAGGTGGGTCAATGTGACACTACCCTGATAATGATAATGTCTTTTAGGATATATGCAATGCCTTTTAAAAAGTTCTGCAGATGTGATTGAGCAAGACACGAGTACAGAAGTGTGATGTTGAATCATGTCTCCTCATGAGTATTCATCTGATGTATAAACTTTCATCAACGTAAGCCATCTGAGTCGACTGAGTCTTATTGTGTGGAGTCAAGTCTTAGTAATTTTCTCAACAGTATAGGTGACCATGTATTTGTGCTATTTAGAGTTTGCCTGCAGTTTTTGATTGAGTCATCCCTCTTGTACACAACTTTATTTTAGAATCGATGTTGTCTTTTCTGTCAAAGTTTTGGCACTTTTTTAATGCAGAACAGGTCGAGGTCTACAGCCTCTGTACATGGGGCGTGCAAACTAACCACTAGACCATTTGGGCCCCTTCTCTTCAAAGCTATTTTTCGGGACCGATAAGACAGCTGAGGAGAAACGTCAGGAAATGTCAGGAGGAGCGAGTCGGGGGATGACACGCAGCAAAGGGCCGAGGGTCAGATTCAAAGCCTCGGGGGGGGGGGGGGGAATACAAATGTTTTATTTTGTAAGAGTTCAAACTGGTTTCCTGCCTATGAAGCAATTTAAAGTCCATCTAGTGTTGAATGTATTTTTGTCCCTCTATAAGGTGACTCTGCTGACTTCTCTCTGCCCCCCCAGTCTCTGACATTTATGGACTATTGACGGGCGTGTCTTTCTGACAGACTGACACGAGAAGAAAGGCTACATTTTCTCCGCTCCACTTGCTCCATTTGACCCGAGTTCACTCACACAGATTGGTGTGCGGGGCAGCACAATAGCTGCAGGATTAGGAGTGAGATTTTGTGTGACGTCCTTCAGCGAGTTCATTGGATGAGAAAGAAAAGAAGGAGCTGATGTTATACCATCAGGATTTACACCACCAGCACCGAGGAAGACAAGAGGCGGATAACAAATCCAGCTTCCCACACCTCACAAAATGTCTCTATAAAAAAAGTTTATCTCCACCTCTCTCTAGTTTCAGACCTTTAACCTAGGATAGGATCATAAGCCAGAGAAAGCAGCGCACCTCCTCTTGTATTCTCGTATCATCTGTGATCTCACAGGACAAGAAGAGATTGACTGTAGAGAAATAAGCAGAATGAGAACGGAAACCACGCTGTTGAGCCCGATTGTTAGGATATGAGGGTCAGGTGAAAATCAGCCAAAAAACACCTGGCCTGGCTTTGGCACAACAACTTGGAAGTAGAGGGAAACAGCTAGCCCTGACCTGTGTGAAGATCAACTTCCATTCATTTATTAACATGTTTGATGTAGCTCATTGTACGAGTGCTGCGTGCATCACTCACCTGTCGGGCAGTAAATGTGCAGGACTATTTCTTGCCCAACGGTGCAGTAACTTCCTGACAACTTCCTGGAACTCTCTCCCTAAAAACATCAGAGACTCCCCCACACTCACTTCCTACAAGAAATCCCTAAAAGCTCAACTTTTCATCACCGCCTACAACCACTGACTCTCAAACTCTTCCCTCGACACTACTTCTATGTTGTATTGTTCTCTTAGTTTTTGCTTTGTTTTTTGTTGTTTCCTGTCAAAGCGTCTTTGAGTATTTAGAAAAGTGCAATATAAATCTAATTCATTATTATTATATAGACCTGCAGGTATGGGCGTGGTATCCATCTTCTCAGCTCACTCAGCAAAAACTCATATTTTTATCCGATTTCTCCAAATAGCAGCTCTCACAAATAAAGACATGGCAAATACAAATGTGAAAATAAACATATATTTTAAGATGCACAATATCACTGACATAACCCCGAGTAATAGGAGCTCAGTTTAATCTCCTGCACTGTTTGATGACTCTTTGTGTATCAGGATCCAAAGTTCTTCAAGGCTATTTTTAATTTTTACGACAGTGATTAAGTTGTAATCATTACCTAACTCTACTTCTATTTCCACATTAAACTCAACAGGAACATTGTCATGAATCTCCTTGTATTGATGAGCAGAATACACAGTTTGTTGTGCATCCCATCCACACAACACAAATCAACTCGAGGGGAACTCATAACCTTTTGTTAAAAATTATAAAAACCCTCAAACTTCAGATCCACAAAGTCAAACCCAGGACTCATTTTTGTTTCCAGTTCTTGTTTCATGAAGCAGCAGTGTCACTGGTGGCTGACAAAGAACACGAGGCGTATGGAGTAGGCAGAGTCCAGTGTGTAAACGATAAAGTTGAAGATGGTCATGAAGGTGACCATCACCAGTTTGTCCCAGGGACAGAGGTGTCCACAGTTAACGGGTCGCTTTGTTTTGAAACTGTACAGTGGCCAGATGACCATCGCCGTCGCGTACATCACTGCTGCTAGAATATTATAAACGATAACCACTTTGTCAAAGGAGATCGGAAAGTAAGAGGTGAACGGCCCGATGGTGAGCAGGATGACCACGATGTTAAAGATGAAGCACAGGGAGAACACGGCGACGCACCACTGCAGGGCGTGGTCGTTCGAGTACTGATTCGTCTCCAGCGACGTGAAGATGAGACAGACGAGGAACGTCTCCAACATCTTCATGATGCCCGGCACCGTGGCGAGGAAACCTATGTGCTCCCCGCTCGGACGGAGGCGGGTCAAGACCACTTCTCCTGCATACGCGGCGAAACACACCCAGGACACCACGGACGCTCCGATCTGACGGTGGCAGTCCTTGCAGGTGAAGAAGGTGGGGTAGATGATGGAGGAGGCGAAGCACATGAGGCTCGCCAGCATGGCAAAAGCGGTGGTGAAGTCCATCCACGCGAACGGGAGCTTCGAAGAGACGGCGGTGAACACTTTGACACCTCCCATACTTACATCCATCATTTACTCATTCTTATGGAATCTCTTCATAGATCTCTTCTCTTCTATTCATTGTTAAGATTGAAACTTCAACTGAGACTTTCTCTTCTTTTTATCCATGTTGTCCTTCCTCTGCTTTTTTTCTTTACGCATAAAACTTTGGACCCTCTGTCATGTTTGGATCGTTATCCTGGTTTCAGTTAGTTGTGATACACTTACGGACATCATGCATCCTCTTTGTGTTTGGCTTTATTATAAATAATTGAAATTAGCAGAGAGATCCTGCCTCCCCCCTTGCAGAGGGAGGAAAAGACGCTGTGGGTGGGAGAAGGGCATGGCACTCGGCTCTAATTAATCACACTGGGAGTTTTTTTCAGCTGCCAGAACTGTTGTTGGAGCATCTCTTTCACCTCCACGACAATCACAGCCTGCATTCCTATCTTCACTGTAACCTCTAGGGCCGAGGTTTATTTTTTTAGAGTGAGGTAAAATACTCTCCTCCTCCTCCTCCTCCTCTCATTGACTTCTCATGATCAACAAACATCGTGTGTGTTTGAACAGCCAGGTGTGGTGTGATTCCTGCTGACCGATTAAATCATGAACACATTTAAAAAGCTCATAAATCAGCATTCATACAACACTGTATCCAAAGATGTCTGTGTAGGTTTTCAGTCATCCAGGTCATGGTATTTTCGAAGCTAGAATTCTAGAACTGAAGAAGCCTTTCGGAGGAGAGGTGAAACGTCCTCAAGATCTTCAACCAGTTGTCCAATTGCCTTTGGATAAAGCTTGAGTTTTCGAGGTGATCTTCCAGGGCTTGTGTGTTTCTGCACTCAGTAGACGGCGATCACATGAAAAGTGGGCGAGAAAAGCTACTTAAGCACTGTCGTTAAGAAGCTTGAGATTAAATAGTTTGAGGTGTTTTTATTGACAAGAACTTGATAGTTTGAAATTCTCAGTTGGAATAGTTGACCATTGTGGAATAATGTGTGATAAAATATGCACACTTTTTTTTAAAATTCTAAAACCAAAGTAGAAAACCTGTCCGAAGCATTCACATCCATGTGCAGAACATGAGACTCTCTGCAGTTTGTCCTTGTTACAACAGGCTAACGAGCTAACGAGCTAACAGGCTAACAGGAAACACATTCATGCCCAGATATTTTAACACCTGGTTGATTTAAAGGTTTAAAAAACAGCTTTTTCAAAAGAAGCCAACAAAAGAAATAGTGAACAGTAGGAATAATGTGAGAATATAAGGGTATGCGTGCATAACTGATGTCACAACATAAAATGTTTTAAAGCCAATTCTCTGAAACAACCCGAGATTTAAACCAGTGGATTGTCTTATAACCTTTAATAATGGAGTAGATGGGACGGAGGCAGCGTGACCATAAACACAGAGCTCACCAGGAGCTGCAGAAGGCCCGCAGTGTGTTTCTACCTTCACACCACACAGAGACAGACTGTCAGTAAACACACTCGCGATGAGGGTTCAAGACAATCAAAGAGGGGCCTGCATAGGTACAGTATACACAGATGTGGAGATTGACCTTCCGAAACACTTTCCACTCTGTGTTTGGATAATTTAAAAAATAAAAATGAACGAGCTTCTAAATCGATAATCAGGTCAAAATAAACAACAAAGAATCCCACTGTAATTAACGGTGCTCCGTCTGCACCCACCCCCTCCCCTCTGTGCTCCCTCAAAAGCCACGCCCCTCACTTATATGCACGAGCGCCGTTAGTCCAGAAGCGGACCTCGGCTCATCGCTTTGAGTGTGGGCTTGTGCATGCATGGGGTAGAGAGCGAGCAGGGAGAAAGGGAGGCGTGTGATTGGTTCATCAGATTGGTACCTCGTGGCAGACATTGGTGGAAGTTTTTAAAGGCTTACAACTGCTACAGATGACTGATTTTCTTTGTTCCTTTTTCAGAGCACATGAGTTATTAATGTCTGTCAGGACTAAAGACAATTTCAACCACAATCTTTAAAAGTGGATCTGGAGGAAATTACCAACCCTGCCTTTAAAAGGAAAACGCTCTCAGGGAAAAATGGCCTCCCTTCATTTTGTTTGACATCAGCTTTAAAGAGTTTTATTTTCTGTGTCAAACCGTTTTTTGCCGCCACGGATCCCTTTAGATAGAGAGATTCATTGAAAACCTGGAAATAAATCTGTGTTTAATAAATCTAAACACAGACCTTCCATTGGAGTTTTAAATTCTGGTGACTTTAAATGTCAGACTGTTATTTCATGGGAAAGCTGCTCACAACGGCAGGCTGACTTTATACTCATGAATGCAGACAAACATGCAAAACAGACATGATCGTTTATTAATAATCAAGATGTGATTCCTTTACAGAGCGACTAAGTTAATATTGGTTTCAAACGTATGAGGAAACCAAGAGTCCATTTCTAAAATGACCCAATATTTTAAAATTCACAGTGTTTCTATCAAAAACAAGAAAGAAAAGAGAATCCCCTCGTCTCCTGGTCGAGGTTTCCTCTCACAGGGTGGTTTCATCGTTAAAAAGCTCAGACTCACCAGGAACGTGTTCACATGGTCATGACTTATTTAACTACAGAGATTCAAACAGTGTTGTCCAGCAACTTCCAAAATAATGTCAGCATCTTAAGTCGAAGTTCATAGTTCATCAGATTCCTCAGTAGACAGTTTGTTTCTGAGGTTCAAAGGATGAGTTTGACCACGGTGTGCGTCCACTGAAGGAGAAGTCGTTTCAGAACAAAGAGGAGGAATTAAAAATCCACAGGAGGAAGATCCTCGACTGCACGGGCCTTTTTTTTTTTCAAAACGTATAAAAAGCTTTTAAAAGATGACGCACCAAAGGAAATATAAGAGCCATGACCAGCAACAATATTCAAACCATCTCAATGAACCACCAGGTCACACTATCTATCACAATGCAAATAAAATACTGCATATTCTAAAGGAGGGAAAAGAACAACAGAAGAGAGGAACCACAGCACAGATAGAGCAGATCAAATGAGAACGGCATTGAGCAGGGGGAAGTCACCTGTTCAAAAAAAGCCTCAAAATGGACTTTTCTAACAGCAACTTCTTCCATACCTGAAAGTTATTTTTAAGGCTTTACTGCAGAACAGATATATTTAAAAACTAACTAAGCGCTGGTCAATAACCAACACTGTATTTAGTGTTGGCTTCAGTTTGATACAGCAGCGCCTCACATCACAAAGAAATAAAGTTCAAGCAAGAATCTCAAGTTGAATGATGGACGCTTCATGTTGTCTTATCTCCAATTTCCTCTTTAAGTCCTCCGAGCAAAGTCCCGAGACACAGAGAGCATCAGTGTTCAAGACGGATACATTTCCAATCAGTCAACGGATCACGGGTTAATGGTGCTTGGTTGTAGTTTGTGGTGCGTCAGGATGAGCATCATAGGCATGTCTGGCTGTTGACGACTGTTTTTGAAGTTAAAGGCTCGCTGTCGAAGTCTCCAATGACTTCAAGCTGGACCTGCTGCTGAAACGAGACACAACGATTAGAGGTGAAATAAAAGCAGAATGATGAACAGATCAGGAGAGCAGAGGACTTTTTGGTTGATGTTAAAGGATTGTGATTAGCTCAGTGTAGAGCAACCAGTGCTGTCAAAATATTAGTGTATAAATCAGGGAGGTTCCTCACTTTAACAGACGTTTAAATTCACACTACCAGACTACTCTAAAGGAAAGATAAAGACTCAGAAAACAGTCAAAATTGAGGACAATTGATTCAAATTGTCGCCTGATAAACGATCATTTGGGTTCGCTGAGGGCCAAGCGGTTATGTCACGCCCGATGTATGGAGGCGGTAGTCCCTCCAAGAGGGCGATACCGGGTTCAAACCCTTCCTGCACTTTCTACTCTATCCACTTGCCTATTTAATTGAAGGCAAAAGCCAAAAGATGAATAAAAACAAACAATCGAGTGAGAAGGACGATCTCTGTGCATGTTATTAAACGGCTGGATTATGTTTTCTGTTCATCAGTTCTTTTCCTCTCTTTGTAGATATGGTTGTTCTGTTGAAGTGCATATGTGAACAGCCAGGTCAGGAGAATTTCAGGAGCAATCCTTTTGAAATGATCTAGATATTTTCAGGAGCGCATGTGTGAAAACAGCTTTGGTGGTCTGGTTCAGCAAGAGGTTTCTGACGTTTTTCTTGCCACTGTTGCCAGATGTTGCTAGGTTGCTTGTTCATGGTATAGGTATGTTTTGCGGCTGGGCACACTTTGAAAGACCTCCCTCAGCCCGATTCCAAACCCGTCAACAAGATACTGAAACTATCTGTTGTTGATGGCTTGTTTATGTGTTCACTTTGCTTCCAGTCTGGAATCAGTTCAACATTGGGAACTTAAATGTGTTGTTTCTGGTTTTCTAACTGTCCTCGGCAAAAAAAGTCCTCGACCACTTCTGTTAGAATCAAGTCAGATAAAAAGACCTGCTAGCAGAAATAAACCCTTCAATTCATCCGAGCTCGAACTGTGACGTGGATGTAAATGTCTTCAGTAAGACTTGAGTCTCAAAATTCAATGTTTTGTCTTTGATCATTTTTTTTGCAAAATACCTGAGCGCTCTGCTGTTTTCCATTCCGTTCCAATGGGAACGTGGTTTTCCTGCGGTGCCTTCTTCCTGCCTCTCTTCTTCTCCGTCGTGCAGACACTGTTGGGCTTGTGGACGCAGATCACCTTCTGGAAGCTCTGCTTGAAGTTGTCGGACAGGAAGCCGTAGAGGACGGGGTTGGCACAGGAGTTGACATATGTGAGGATGACCAGGATGAAGTAGATGGCGGTGGTGGCTTTGGTCTCGGGGATGATGTGGATCAGGTTGACTGTGTTGGTGGTGTAGAAGGGAAACCAGCAAAGTACGAACACGACCACGATGATCACCACCATGCGCGTCACCTTACGCTCTGACTTACGGCGCTTAGTCAGGCCCGCTCGCACACCTGCAGACCTCACCTGAAAGAAGAGGTTTCATAAGATTAGAAAGAA